AGTGAGGAAAGGGTTCTGAGAGCCTTGGAAGTGATATTCGTGATCACCGCGAAATTCTCTATCGAATGGTGTATGAAGTGTCGAAAAATAAATTTCACTGCAAGGCTGCCCTGGGTGCATCTTATTTTATATTGAAGAGAAACAACTTCTTCGATATTATCATAATTACTTTGTGAAAAAAATAGGTAGAAACTTAAAGATTCAAATGAAGAAGACTACAAATATAAACGGGTTATAAAAATCTCCTTCAGATTGATCGTTAAGACTCTTTATAAATTTAAGATTTCAACTCAAGGATTTTTGAGTCGTAAAACGTAACTCATCGCGCTGATTCCGAATATGTAAAAATCTCAATGATCGCTACTCAAAAATAAACCATCAGATCTTGATATGTCGATCTTTTCCGTCATGTTTTGTTTTTTCCTCTCAATCTTAGTTACTGAATACTTTTTCTAATTTACAAGAGTTTGAAAAACTGAAACCACATCGAACGAAAAAAGAGTTCCGAAGACGAGAACAAAAATCCTTTCCGGAACGTTTTATGGACATTTTCGTATATGTTTATTATATTTCGTTCGTTGTAATAAAAGTTACTATTTATACCGTGTGATATTGATTTCCCAAGCACTTTGAACGTTTTTTAAAATACTAATAGTTTTTACAGTATTTGCAACCTAAAAATGCGACTATACAAAGATTAATTAAGTATCAGATTTGTCCATCGTTAATCGATTTGGATGACGAAATTCAATTTTTTGTGTTACCATTTATCGCGTTATACCGAAGAAACTGTTTCGAAATAATGACTGTGCAACCAACAAGTCAAATTTTCTGTTCAGTGTGAACGCTACAAAACAGATTCAGAGCCTATCCTCCCGTTTTCGGAAGTTTTCCATGTAGTGTACCCCTCTAGATCAGACAGCGCACATTTTGCAAAAAAAGTGACTAAACAAAAAAAAAAAATAATGAAATTTTCGTTTGGAATGATTGCAAACTTAGGAACTATTCATTTATTGTTTCTCCTGTGTATATAGTCGAGTAGAGACTGAATAGAAAAGTGACATAATTCAATGTATTGTAAAATTCATTTCATCGTCTGTCTTCTATTCAATTCTTTTATACTGTATAATAATTCTTAAATACTCGGATATACAGATTTTATTTTTGTTTTAAGTTATCTGTCTACTCTCTGCTTTCTTTTTATATATTATTTTACGATAAGTAAGTATTCAGAAAGAAAGCGAAAGAACAGGTTTTGTATACGTATGGATTAAACAAAAATTGTTCACGCTATAAGGGAGGAAATAAATTTTATATATTACACAACTAAAGTATTCCTCATGTCACGTAACATTTGTGTATGTACAATGAAAAAAAAATATTTTCTTTTTCTCATATACATATGCAAGGAGAACAAGTCGCTTTTTCTGGTTCATGAATAAATAATAAGTTATAGAAATTCGTTATTGTCATATAAAATTTTCGTGTATTTATCAGTCTTTCATAGTTCACACTGAAAAATCAAAATTTGATTTAAAATTGAAAATTAGCATGTTGCTGATGAAAAAAATTGTTTATGTAAGTAATTTCTTTCGCTTTTCTTCCGAAATCATTCACATGACCTCTGAAAACATTACAAAAGAATTTACCAACACTCTGTTCCATCGAGGTTGTGTTAAGGAATTTGGATATGCAACCAATCACTTTTAGATAATTGTACAGAGGAATTCAGATATATGTTCGATACTATTCGTTCCTCGGATGTAACATTCTACAGTGCATCTATCGTTCATTTGAGGTTACACCATGACTGTATTCGCACAAACTATATTTTTTAGAGCAACAATTATGTAAAAATTATTAAAATGGAATAACTGTGAGAAACGTTTTTTAGCCAACATCCATAGAAAATTAGCTAGTAAAGTTAGATGGGAAAGCTAAGTAAAACAGACTGGTAAAATGTTGATTTATAGGTCAACAGAATAGGTTATTTTTGAAATGAACTATTACCGTATAATAGTATTTTACCTCTGTTTGAAAACCTTTTTGAATTCTGATTAATCATTACAACACTATTTCGCAGGGACTACTTACTATTTTTGACTTACTTAATAAGTTTTACTGAAAGAACTCTCCACTTTTATCCCATTATTGATTTTAAAATAAACGATAGATACGATGAAAACACGTCCGCTTATACTAATTAAATAAGATTTATTTCGTACTCAATGCAAATCTTATTGTCCTATTTTCATTTTGTATTAGAATAACTCCTACTATTAATTAGTGACCTATAAGTGAATGTACACACGCGAATATGTATTTCTCTTTTTTTGTGTGTATATGTATATGTGTGTGTGTATGTGATCGTTAAACTTCGTTATCGACTTTATGCTAAGACGAAAAACGATTGTTCTTTTATTCATTTATTATTATTATTATACATAGAACATGCTCAATCATGTCAATAGAAAAAGATTTTGATTGTTCACCTAACCATTAAACGTAGAGCATAAAAAGGATTGCCGAAAGAGTTATATGTACACATAAATTAAACAAAATATAGAAAAGAGAAAGGTGTGTCATATACAGAATGCCACTACAGAAGATACGTCGCTGGATCAACGAAAAGGTAAAAACTGAATAATATTCAAAAGTTATCAGGTCATCTTACTTGCATCACACATGAATAAGAATAGGTCATACAATTTAAAAATATATACGCTTTTTAGAGAGCGTTGTTTCTGTGCCGATTTGAGGTAAGAGGGGTAATATTAGCATGCCATGGGGTACTGATTCTGATTGAATGAACGTACTTGCATGTTCAATTGCATGATATTTTTGGGATAAACAAAAATTCAGTATGTCATGATACCTTAGAAGAAATTGCAATTTGCACTTTATGTCTAATTACTGCTTGCAAGCGACTAGATTATTTAATAGGATCCCTAGCCGATACTCTCTGGGGATTTCATTAAAAATTAAGTTTTCAGAATGCCATCATCTTAGACAGTTTTTGACTCTATCTATTAAGAGTCAGCAGTGGTGTGCTTTATTACACTCCATTCACTCTGAGAAGAACTTCCAATTTCCCTAGAGAATTTGATGTTTTTTTTTCTATATACAGCCTAATAAAGTAAACCAGTGAATGAATTCTTCAGAAATTAAGAACTAATCCCTGAGGAGTTTGGTTAAGATTCATAAGTAGGGACACTGCCTCGTTGTTATTACAGATCGGGGATTTTTGATGACTCTTACTTTTCGTCAAGAAGTTGGTCTTACTTAATAACTTATCTCTTCCTCAAAAATAACAACTTCTTTCAAGAATAATAGTTTTTCCATCTGTATAGAAATGTGTGACTCAAATAGTTCTTCTTTCACAATCAGTTTAACGCTTGATATCGAATTCTTCGCTCAAACGAGAATTTTATAAGATCCCTCAAATCTACCGTCGTTAAAGTTCAATTTTAATAGCGGATTGACTACTACTACATAAACGTCTTTTCACGATTGAGATTAGTAGAGCAAATGTTTCTTGGTACAGAGTTTGACGACATCTGTGCAAAATGAGGAGTGGCGCACGTGACTGCTATCAGTATTTTATTATAAGTCCCAAGCTGAGCCAATAGATCCAGTTGACGTATTCGTTATTGATTATGTGTGCTATCGAGCAGTTATCATGGCCTTCGGCAAACTACAATTTTGTTGAGGATGGTTCGGCGTAATTCAATGATTTTTTATTGTTTGAAAGCCAAAACAAAAGTGAAAAAACTGACGTGAGCGATTTTCGAGATTTGCATCCGATCTTCATAAATCTGCAGGCTAGTAGGAAGTGAATAGAACTTGCCATTTTACATTGAAAACAGATGAAAGTGAATTTTGATAATTGTCCAGATCAAATCCTAGATTTATGTTTTGTTGAATGTTTTCGTCTGTGCATATTGTCGAGAAACGATAGGTATCAAGCTTTTGGCTCGTGAGTAGAAATGTTCGGTTCCGGAATCAAGAACCGCGATCTCGGTTCTTCAGGCGAAACCGAAACGAAAAGATCAGCGGTCGCGGTTCCGAACTTAGAACAGAATTGCGGTTCTTATTTCTCAGCTTAGAACCGAAAAATAATTTTTCAGGCAGTAAGAATTCAACGAAGTAGAATTCATTTTATAGTAAACGAAAGGATTCTTTGACATGATGACAGGCAAATATATCTTTTTGTAGCTTTATCAACAGTGTGTTTTCATTTTGCAAATCAAAAAGTCCCGGTTCCGAAAAAGGATCCGTCTGAGAAATCACGATTTCGGTTCCATTGTGAGAACCGATAGCGCGGTTCCGATTCCGGACAAAGAACTGGAAATAAGAGAACCGCGGTTCTGGTTCTTCACGAGAACTGAACATCCCTACTCGTGAGATGTTTTTTCTATCTTTGTCTTACGGATGTAATCTATATTTTGCTTTTTAGGGTCCCTGTCATGAGAATGCTTATTCCACATATAATTTGTCAACGTCACCATCTCGCGGCAATTCAAGTATATCCCTATTTCTGTTGTCTATCATGGTTATAATGCTTTGTTAGTATTGTTTATAGTATCGTCATCTGATGGATTATCTGAATCTGACCATAGTACCAGTAGCAGCGACAACAGTATGTACGAACAAATATGCTATGATACAGTGAAATGGGATAATTCAAAAGAAGAAAATAATCATTCAATAATACCCTATGTGCCCTATCCACAATTTTTTCGATCAGAACAACAACGATATCAGATACCTTATCCTGATTATAGTTCAGAAGATGAGAGACCCCTAATGAAAATAGCATCACCAAAAGCACATCAGAATAATCATTTATCATCATCAACAACAACAAATATCCAATCAAATCAAAAACAAGAATTACACAGAGAATTAGCTTATAGACAAAAAATGTACGTCACTAATGATTAAGACGGTCTTTCACACATACCCTGCATCCAATACTAACAAAGTTTTCGGAAAATGTTAACCGTGATAAAATATGATTGTGATAACTCGAACTCTTACTAAATTTTTGCCAAATCCGTAAACAAAAACGGGTCTGTTTTTCTGCTTGACGTATAAACCAGAGGTTCCAAAATGCTTTGATAATGTTTACTAAACACTTCTATCTATTTTCTCTAAGAGCTACTTCACATTTTAAATTCATTTGATTTTAAAATTTTTATATGAAAATTCAGCGTTTGGGAATTTCAGAGATTCTACTATTTAAGAAACGTCTACTTCAAAAACCGAGCTCAGTTCGGACCTGTATAAATAATTTACCTACCAAGAAAAAACACTTTTGCTCTACGATGACGTGCAACAGAGAGTAGCTCAGTAGAAAATCGAAAGAAAGCAGTAGATATGACGATGCTAGTGTATGTTTCATATTTTAAGGCTTTTTGTAGAAGTATCATGACTTTTGATCCAAATATCTCTCAGAAATGGAAAACATCTTAATCTGATCGGAAGTATTTGCTCTTCAACTTGGTATATATAAAATCCATTTTGTTTACAATGTGTGTATGTGAAGAGTACGTTCTAAAAAGTCAGTTTTTTTAGAATTTCTCAAGAAAACATGCTGATACTCGTTATCCTGGCCCACCTCTGGGCTGTCCAATCTCGTACTTATCTCAATAATAACTTCATATATGAAATTTCGTATTCCTGAGCAGGAGGGCGCCCTTAAGTCGAGTAATGTGTCCTACGGGTAGTGGTGTGATTCATGACAGATGTTTATCATCTTTTTGTTTAGTGGTCAATTGCTGCCGAAAAAACCTGAGTTAGTTAGTGTATTTATACGCCGTCAAGAACAACAAAAACGTAAAGAAAAAGAATCTGAACGTCAAAGACATAAAACGAAGCTAGAAGAAGCTCTCGCAAAACAACGACAAAAAATTGACAGTGTAAGTTTGCAATCCAGTGCAAGTTTTTTAGTTGTTTATATTTATCAAGTTTTAGCCAATTTTTTAACATGAGGTTTTCCCTCTTCGAATAATTCTTATTATGAGGAAAACTAGTTAATTATCCAATATGTGAAATTAAATCACGAACACTTTTTACTTTGGAAATAAATGTTCGCCTAAATGCCATGCCCTTTTAAACATATGTAAATACTAATAAAAGAGTTATAGATCAATTACTGATTATCTTCAGATTCAAAATTTACCTCGCTTAGTATTGATCCATCAGAATTAGTACCATAAAACCAATTGGCATGTTTAGATGTCTATATTTATTTAGGTAAATGATGTTTCTTCGTTGACATCCACATCTTCCTCAGCATCATCTTATACAAATGAATTTGAATTTGTCTATCATCGAATTCAACAAAAAAATTCTGTTTCACATTAATAATTTTTGTAGATAATCGGTTTGTGAACAAATAAATTGATTTTAGTGTTATTTTCTCTTTTTTCTGATTATCAACTTGAATTATGGTTATTTTTCTATTTTTAAATATTGTATGTAGTTCCATTTTGACTCAAATAAATAATTATCTATAAACTATAGTAATTATGTTTGTTCGTTAATAGTTGTTTCATAACCTTACAAGTGTACAACTCAGAGAGGAAAACTCAATTTACTGTGATAGTAGATCGATACTTATTACATTATCATATAACGTTTGATTAGTGTGAACTTTGCTCTAATCTCTTTCGATACAACACATTTGGCTATACGCTATCATTTTTGTTCCTCTAAAGTTTCCAAAAACTATTTACTTTGTCCAATATCGATGAGAAACATCGAGTTTCTAATTTTTCATAAGAATGATTAACTTTGTTGAGTTTTACTACTCAGAAAGTCCGACACGGCGACGATTTGTCGTATAAATCTTTAGCATTCAATCAATGAGGCATAAAAGTCTTAAACAAATAGGTTTTTATTTAAATGCGTTCAAAGGAAAAGTCAAAAAACAGTATTGTTTTCCAACTTCTTTGTTTCTCAGGCTTTAGGTGGAAAAGTGTTGTACTAGGTATTCTTGTAAAAAACTGAAATAACGCTGTATTTTTAGAAGTTCGATATTACTGATATTAAAATGTTCAAATATTTCACTGGTGCTTCGTTGATTTTTATACAGGTGAAATTAGTCTTATTATTTTCTCCACCATCTGCTCCTTCCAGTTCTGATCCATGTGAATTATGCGATCAAATCTCAGAAAAATTTATTCAGGTAACTACATTTCATATCTATAGTACTCGTTTTTATATTGTCTTTTTTTTCTCATGTAAGAGTTATAAAAAGACAGCAAGAAGCAATTTTGGTGGTGGAAATTCCGATTGGGAAGAGAAAAAACTCAAAGATTATACGAAAAGGTAATCATTTTAATTCAATTTGAGTTGGATAATAATTCTTTTTTCTTTGTAGCGAAACACGTTTGATTGAAATAATGGAAAATTCATGTACATCAACAGAATCAAAGGTAAATAAAGGGTGTGTCTAAATGTAAACACTGATGAAACATATTTTTTGTTTTAGTGTACAATATTTTTGGAAAAATATGAAGAAGACATTGAAAATTGGTATAACAACAATTTGACACCACTCGACGAGTTTTTTCGATGGTTTTGCATTGATACGGCAAAAGTTTGTTGTTCGGATGGAACTTTTGGTAAAAATTGTCGTTCATGTCAATATGGAGATAATCATTTAATTTGTTCAGGATATGGAACATGCGATGTGAGTAGATGCTAACTAGATATTTAAACACTATGTATAATTCAGATATGTCTTAGGGAAGTGGCACCCGTAGTGGTACAGGTCGCTGTATTTGCGATGATTTGCATTCGGGAACAAATTGTTCAAATTGTAAACCCGGTTATACTAAAACAATAGATAATGATAAAAACATTATTTGTAACGGTAATTATTATTCAGTCGTAATAATGTTTCTATGTTGATTATATATATTTTATTTTGTAGATATCGACGAATGTAAAAGTACCTGGTTTTTGTCGCCATGCCTGCTTTATGAGTGTGAAAATGACAAGGGAACGTATAGATGCACAGGTATTTAACATCTAAATTTACTTTAAAAAATAATAATAAATCACTGTTCTGTTTCTTTGTTTAGGTAAACCATTTTATCAAAAATTATCGCATCTTGTTACTTTGTTGGTATTAGTTACAACAGCACTGATTTTAATGTGGAAACAATTACATACGCTTGTAATTGTTACATGTTTGATTACAATTACTCTCGTAGTTTTATTTTCGAAACATATTCTATAGTTTTTAACTAAAAAACAGGCAAACTAGGGAATTTTTTATGTTTATCGACTTCTCAATAATTACATGTGTGATCTCATCGTGCTCAAATTCATTTTCTTTTTATATTATCGTCTTTGAGTTTCTATGATCTAGATATATTATCAGCTTTTCTTTTACATATCCAACCAATTAAGCATAATAGATACTCATTTGTTTCCTTGCTCAATAATTGCATATTTTTATTGTTATCAAGTTTTAAGTTAGTCTCTTTTTGTATGTGAAATTTATTAAGCTTAGCCATGGCATTTTGTATTTCTTAAGTATCAAATGAGTCTACGCCTTCTTTTAGAGTATAATGATAGTGAATTGAGCTTTAATATTTTCAAAACGATAGTCGAAAAATAATAGCTATAATTGTGATACAGAATCCGCTGAACAGTTAAATTTTGTTATTTCGTTTTGAGTAGGTTGACTTACGCAGATATTTCTATTCAACTATTTAGTTAGATCTCAGACAATTTTTTATTGATGGATTACATAATGAAACCAGTTTTATCTTTTTCAAAATTCCGGTGTTTTCTAGTTTTGTTTACATTCCAATGTTTACAAACAGTTATTTGTTACAATCTTATTTTCTGTTTTTCTAATTATAATTGGTATACTCAAGCATACTTTGGTTGAATAATTTCACCTATTGATATTTCATCAAATGTTACTTCGAGTGGTGTCGCTTTCAAACGTAAATACCAATAGACGTCATTATAATAAAAATAAAACCTTTTTTGAATAAAGAATGATTCATATATTTGAAGTAGTGATTTTAACCAATCTTCTGTTGTTGGCTTTTTCGAGTCAAAATCGCGGTAAAATTTGATAAAATCATTTTTCAGTGAAGAATTTGTATGTTGAATAATATAATCATATGTGCCAATTAATTCAGGTTCTTGCGAGTAAATATTTAAGCGTGTATAGTTCAAACGAACATCACTGTAGAATTGAACTCCATATTGAGATAAAGTATTTAATGAACGAATAACAAAACTTGCACAATCATACGAATCAAAATATAATGTGGCAGCTGTGCCTAAATTGAACATTAAAGACATAGGTAAATTAAAATCCTGCAGAGCAGCCTCAAATCTCGAGCTTTGTTCACGAGGGACAGACGGATTCGGGACAAGAAAAAGAATTATTCATTCAAACTTACAATCTTGGGATAAATCACAGAAAAAGGTTGTCCTGTAAGTTTTATGTATTTACTTGTAATTATACGGTAGCTTCAAATGTTTAATTCATATATTTAAATAGCAGAATATATTACCTGGATCAGACCAAATTGACCACGTTTCATAAAACACACCTAAATTATTAGAATTGATATAAGTATGACAATGTCTCGTGCTATATCTGAAAAATACGTACCAGTATTATTATCGCTCACGGCCCAATGGTATTATTCGTTTTTTATGTGAAGCTGTTGGCAGAATTTAGTAGAATGGAGTACTTGATAATTCAACGTATCTAAATAAAGCTGACTATGCGATGTGATATTTGATGTACACATAGTAGCCCATTTATTATAAGTGTCACCTAAAAGGAAAAACTGATTATTGAATAATTTAACGAACAATTATATTAACTTATGATATACCTGAAGTTTCTCCAATTTTCTTCAACATACTCAAATCGGATGATCCATTCCACATGGAATCAACTATACCTTCATAGACACATAACGCACCTGAAATTATTGTATACGTTAACACTCAAAAACTTAACTCGATAACTTATGTACTAAGAGTATGAAAAAAAAAATATCTCTTAGTATTTGTGTAACTTATTCACCCTGATTACACCATATAAACGTATCATTAGGTAAAACATGAGGAAATGTGCAATTGAATAATTGATCTAATTCGTACCTAAAAATCAAAGCATATTTAAAACTGTGGAGAATAGATCCATATATGAACTATACCATTCCATCGTCCAATTTTTTCCGGTAAGTTGACTTCGAAATCCAAGTGCATCATGCATTATTTTCTATTAGAATAGTAAAATATTACTAGTTAATCATTCAAATCGTTAAATATTTTAGCTGTAAAACTTACAAATTTCGCCATTAAATCTCCAAATTTGAATGACCAAACCGGTTTTTTTAATGCGAAAATTTCAATTGTATCACTTGGTTGCGCGAATATCATCGAATCTTTTGCTTGACCAGTAGGACAAAACAGAATTAATCCAGGTTGACAATATGGATTATTTGGTGGACGACTCGATACTCGTCTAAAAGTAAAAAAGAGACTTGAATCCCATGAAACAGAGGTAGTTTTAACTTTCAAACATACTCGTAAGGTATCGGCCATTGAGCACCATTGAGCACATTTACTACAAGAAGTAATAACGAAACTATGTTGAGTAGCATGTTTGTAGTCTAGAATTATCTCATAGTTTACAGTGATTATATGCCGAGCAATACGCGAGAAAAATAGCAGATGGTAAGTTTTCATTTTTAATGTGTCAACGAAACATGTAAAAAGGATCGTTGATTGACTGAAATTGAAAAATGTATGGATAGATTACAGTACCTAAATAGTACTATGCAGATTTTAAATAAGGGAGAGTAATTGAAAAACTTCATACTTTTTTTCTTTTAGGGAGAAATAAGTGTACAGCTCTCTACTTCTTGCTGTGTGAATCGAACCTTCCCACACTTCGAGAAGAAATAATATAAATGTTCAACTATTAGGTGTGGCGAAAGTTTTGCATATATTTACAAGAGATGCTCAATTTAATTCTCTACAAAACTGATATTGACTATATTTTGCAGTAATAAAATTCTAAATTTCTAGAGGTCAAACACTTCAATGGAATCAAATTCAACTACTGTCCGTCAATTCTCAGAATGTTTTGCGAATTTTTTTCTGCACTGACGACAAATACTGAGAATATCAGGTATTCGTTTTTCGATAGTGTATCAACAACTCTTTTCAAAGATATATATATTTCTGAGAATAGTGCATTGAGCGATATAATACAAAAACAGCTGCGATTTTGTTCTTGTACCATTTCCTTTCTTTTGTTTTGAAATAAAAAAGTTTATATGGGGGAAGCATCGGCTTTATTTAAAAACGAGCGATGACATATAGTCTTTTTTCATAGACATTCAAGTGTGGACTATCCAAATCCGGTCTCAAAAGTTTGGAGTCTTATAAAGATTTCTCGAAAACCTTTGCGAGTTTCTAGAAATTCCTTAAGTTTATCCAAAACGTTTTTAAATCAAATAATTGGAAAGAGCACAAAATTCTGAACAAAATGAGGTATTGCTCATAATTTTAGCATTTACTTTAAAAAGGTGAGAAAATAACAGATGTACAAGCACAAATGATTTACTATAAAAAACTTATTTTTAAGTTGTTGAATTTATGGCTTAGAAAAACTGAAAAACTATCAGTGATACCTCATTTTGTTCAGAATTTTGTGTTCTTTGCAATTATGTAATTTAAAAACTTTTTGGGTAAAATTACGGAATTTCTAGAAACCCGCAAAGGTTTTCCAGAGATCCTTATAAGACTCCAAACGTTTGAGACCGGATTTGGATAGTCCATACTTGAATGTCTATGGAAAAGCGCATCTTACTTTACACTTAAACAAGAAGCTGGAGAATGGCGTCAAACAATATAAACTCCGAAGATCCTCAGCTCAGAAGACCTTCGGTATCCGGCTGAAGGCCCGAGATAAAAACGATATGATCGCATTATCGGATAGACCGAACAATGGACTATATAGGAAGAAAAAATCCCTCTTCCATTACTTGTCTTGGCGGAGAAACCAAATCTTTTTTTTGCTCTCCATTTTTTAGACACTGAATTTTCCATCGAGCGGACTCTAGAAAACCGTACAGAACTCAGAAAGTAAAAGTCCTCGAAGACTCAAAATTTGGATTTATAGCTTTTCACACATGCTGAACAAGATAGGACTATCCAGAAGCAAATCTGAGAGATCGATTGAACATGACCTGTTGTTTCTCTCATGCAATGACTGGTAGAATTACTCTTAAAACAGATACATGTATTTCTACAGAACAGAAAATTTACACTAAAATTCGATTCACCGCAGTCATCCGCCGATGAGTTACTATCCAAAAATGGTGGATTACTTGATTCATTAATGATCAGTATGCTTGCACCTCAAGGACAGGGAAATTTTCACCGGACTTATTCGAATCGATGTATATCATCACCGATCTCGCTCTCTCCTTACGGTTGTTTTGGTGTCCTCTCACGAGAGAACCTCTCGAGGTGATTAAAAGTTTTTCGACTCAGACTATTTTCATCATGTAGGGGATAGTCAGTAGTGAAAACCCCAAGTTGGTTTGAGCCCATGCGCCTTTTTGACGGAGATATGAGTTAATTAATGAAAATCCCATTAATAATAATTAATTAATATCTCACGACTATGATCGGCTAGGAGTCGGAAAGTTGCACCATAGTTGAAGATAGATGTTGTCTACTCACTGCGACACTTTTAGTCTTATAAACCAAAGCTTTTGCAAGATATGAATTTTTTATGATTTAGACAGTTTTTAGTGAAAATCCACCATTGAAAACCTAAAAACTTGT